GTCAGTTTAAATCAGCTTTATCTTCTTGAAGAGCTGCTTGTTCCATCAAATTGAGAATGAGTCTATGGCACATCTGGAACAAGAAACAATCCTTAACTCTTGACTCATCAGCAGGATTTACACCTACCCTAAGAAATATAGCTCAGATATATTGTAGGCTACTTGGACTCCTGGCAGAAGTCAAAGAATACTTGGGGACCAGTGAAGTACATGAGAGAACATCACCAGATCCAATTACCAAACAGAGTGTTTTAACCACCGTAAAAGACATTCCTATGATATTTTTTTTTAGTGGGTGTATTTATAGAATCATAGAATTGTTTAGGTTAGAAGAGACCGTTAAGATCAGCAAGTCCAACCACTAAACCATGTCTTCAAGTACCACATCCATATACCTTTTCAGGGCTTTCATAGATGGTGATTCCACTGCTTCCCAGTCTAGGTTATTCCAATGTCTGACTACCCTTTCAGTGAAGAAATTTTTCCTAAAATCCAATCTAAAAGTGTCCTGGTGCAAGTGGAAACCATTTCCTCTTATCCTAGTACTTGTTACCCAGGAGAAGAGACCAACCCTCACTTGTCTACGATCTCCTTTCAGATAGTTGTAGAGAGACAGGCCTCCCTCGAGCCTCCTTTTCTCCCAGATAAACACCCCCAGCTTCTTCAGCTTTTCCTAATAGAGCTTGTGCTCCAGATCCTTCAACAACTCCATTGCCCTTCTCTGGACTCACTCCAGAATGTGGACATGTTCCTGAGTCAACGTCTGTCTTGCAGTGAGGAACTGGACACAGGACTCAAGGTGTGGCCTCACCTTTGCCTGGTACAGGGGGACAATCTCTGCCCTGATACTGGTGGCTACACAACCAATCAATGGCCTTTTTGGCCACCTGCACACACACTGGCTCATGTTCAGTTGCTGATGACCAGTACCCCTGGGCCTTTTTCTCTGCACAGCTCTCCAACCACTCTTGTCCAACTCCTGCATGAGGTTGTTGTGGCCCAAGGACCCAGCACCTCACCTTGTTGAATCTCACCCTGTCTCTCTAGCCTTGGCCTATCAATCCATCCTGTGCAGATCCCTCTGCAGAGCCTTCCTACCCTCCAGCAAATCAGCTCTCCCATCTAATTTAATGTCATCTCTGAACTAACTGAGGGAGCAACTCAAACCTGTTGTTTAGCTGGACTGCCCCTGTACTGAGTCAAGTGGAACACCACTGCTGACAAGCCTCCAGCTGGATGTAACTCCATTCACCTTCACTCTCTGGGTCTGGCCGTCCAGACAGTTTTTAACCCAGGGCAGAGTTCCCCTGTCCAAGCCATGAACAGTCAATTTCTCCAGGAGAATGCTGTGGGGAATAGTATCAAAGGCTTTACCAAAGTCTAGGTAGACATCCACAGCCTTTTCCTCATCCATTAGGCAGGGTCATCCTGTCACAAAGATCCTTAAGTAAGTCAAGCAGGACCTGCCTTTCCTAAACCCAAACAAGCTGTGCCTGATTCCATACACGCCAAGTGAAGGCATGTGCTTCATGACCCTCTCTAGCACCGAGGCCAGACTGACAGGCCTATAGTTCCCTGAATCTTCCTTCCAACCTTTCCTGTAGATTGGCATAATATCTGCCAACCTTCTGTCATCTGGAACCTCATTATCCCGGACTGCTGGTATATGATGGAAGGTGGCTTAGTGAGCTTTGCTGACAGCTCCCTCAGTACCTTTCAGTGGATCCCATCCAGTCCCATGGACTTGGGTGTGTCTAAGCGGTGTATCAGGTCAATGGTCATGGCTTCATTCTGATCCCCATCCCTGTCTTCCAGTTCACGAAGCTGGGGACACAATGAACAACCTGTCTTGCTATTAAAGACAGAGGCAAAGATGGCACTAAGTGCCTTTGCCTTTTCCTCATTGTAAGACACGGTCCAAATTTCCCCTCATTTTTGCCTCACAATTGTTGCAATAGCAGAAACTAAGATCCTGAAGATCCCAATTAGAGTTCTGGCCTGGTTCCACCTGGAGGTGGATGCTTGCCAAGTGATTTTTTGCAGGTGTGTTTGGTGTGTCACCACACTACACTGCTTCGGGCAGGGCCTGGTAAGGAGAGGCTTGCTCTGTATGCTTACACCTGCTTCACAATAGACAAACCCATGAATTTTCCCACCTCTTGGCCATGTGAACTTTCTGGGGTAACTTTGGGATCTGCCACGGAAGATTCCTCATCTACCTCACAACCACTGTGACGGACAGAGACTGAAGCTCCCTCCCAGGGACTGAGACTGAGACCCCTATCACGGGGGTGGGGCTGGCCTGGCTGAAGCAGGATGTTTGCCAAGTGTTGCCTGCAGGTGTGTTTGGTGGACCAAGAAAACAATGGATCTCGCTCACTCCTGAAATTTACTTGCCCTGCTTCATAACATGGACTGTCTGTACCCACTTTTCAATCGACTCATTTGTCCATTACCTGTTCCCCAAACTTGGCAGAGGACTATGAAAGACCCTAACTTAACCAAGATTTCAGTTAACCCCCATGGACGACAACAAATCCATGTGGCTGGCCCATTGAAGACCTCGTTTCAATGGTGGTAGCTATAATTCCCCTTCCCCTCTTTTCTCTCTATTCTTTATTTCCTTTTTCTGTCCCTTCTATTGCATTTGCTGTTGGTACCTAAATAAAGGTGTATTTGTTGTGATTAAACTGATGGTCCCCTGCTGTTTGCCTTTTTGCACTTTTGGGATTGATTAACAAACCATCACAACACCCTGCATGAGCAGATCATGACACTCATCCTTTGTCATAATGCATCTCCCCACGTCTATAAGGTAAGGAGGTCCGTGATCACCTAATCACAGAATATGCTGAGTCAGATGGGACTTTTAGTTCTGCACAGGATATAAAAAGAGCTATACCATGTGCTTGAGAACACTGTCCAAACATTTCTCTATGTATTTATGAAAACATTTGGCATATTCATAAAACCATTTATGTTTTCTTTTGCTGCAGTAGCCAGATTAATTTCTGGGATTCGTCTGCCTGCATTACCTCACAACATCCTTGTAGTCCTCCTGAGTTGCCTTCTGTTTCCTCCAATGGTGATATAACCTCTTTTTTACACAGAATTCCAGACAAAGCTCTCTGTTCAGCTAGGATGGCCTTCTTCCACATCAGCTTGTCTTTTGGCACATGAGGACAGCCTGCACCCTGAAGATTTTCTTCTTGAAAAATCTGGACTCCTTTGTCATTCAGGACTGCCTCCTAAGGGATTTTGACAACCAGGCCCCTTGACAGACCTTTCTAAGTCCAAGATGGCAGATATGCTGACCCCTTTCCTTTTTTTCTTTGAGAATTGAAAGCTCTATCAGACCATCACATCACATTCTAGTTCTTTTCTGTTCACAAAGAACAAGTCCGACAGGTGCCTCCCCTTGGCTGACTTGCTGTGTCAGAAAATGGTCTTACAAATACTCCAGGAACTTCCTGGACTGTTTTCCCTCTCTGCTGTATTGTATTGACAGTAGGCATCTGGAATGCTGAAGTTGCTCTAGAGAGGAAGAGCATGCAATTGTGAGACTGATTATAGAATATTTGATCTGCTCCTCCCTTCTGGATTCCTACCAGGATATCTGCCTTGTCCTTCCCTCTGATTCGTGCCCAGAAACACTCAACCCTATTGTCACAATCATTGAGCTAGAGGCAACCAAAACTCTTCCTAACCTACATGGCTTCCTCCCCACCTCTCCTTCCTCACCCATTCCTTCTGAAAAGTTTACAGCTGTCTAACACAGCACTCCAGTTGTGCAAATTGTCCTACCATGTTTCACTGATGGTGACTGTGTCACAGCATTCCCACTGCACAATGGCTTCCAGCTCCTCCAGCTTGCTGCCCATGCTGCCTGCATGATACAAGCTTAAAGTGTTATTAGCTGAGAGGAACAAAAAATCTTTTCAAGGTAGCAAGTCAGAAGGAGATTTTGGTGTTAAGACATTCTTGGGATCTGTTTCAAGTTTCTTATATTGGAAGACATCTTTGTCTTGGAGTAGATGGTCTTTGTCACAGAGAATGGCCTGTGGTGAGAGAGAAAAGTGGTGCCACATTCAAAGTTGGGAGAGTCTCCTCAAAAACAACAAGCACTAGGCCCAAGGAATGATTTCCCCACTCACAGCAAGCTCCTGGAAATCACCTGCAACCATCTGCAGCCTTCTTGCCTTCAAGATCAGAGGGACCCTCACTTCCCAAAAAAGGGTGTGGATGCCTATAATGAATGAGAATACCTACGTCATAAGACTGGGTGTAGGTTATTGTATTTAAAATCTGTCATCCCTTACATGAAGAGAAAACTTCTGGAACTAAAAAGACTTTTCTGTCCAGATGGAAAAAATCCACTCTGTTTAGCCGTATAGTTAATGACTGGTGGATGTTTGATGTGCCACATGCTGTAAAAAAATTAAGCTGACTGTACATGTTAGTTTTAGTTTTTCAACCTGGGCAGCAAGAAAGAATTGCTGAGAGAGTTGTTTCCACTCTACTTTGCTTAATATGCAAACAAACATGGAAAGTAGTGACCTGGTTTCAAAGAACAGTGTTATCTCAAATGCCACCTGCCTCACCTATACAAGGAATGAATGCATCAGGATGAGAAGGCTCTTGGACAAGCTGAAACAAAAGAAAGAGCAATGTCACACATCTGAGTAAATGAACAAGCAGAGAAATCTGCAAAAAACCCTCATTACAAGTAATGCAGTTCAGCTTCTGAGGGTACGAAAATGATCTTCCCATAACAGTTCAGACACCTTCAATTTTAGAAAGTCAAGATTTAGAAAGGATTGACTAAGTGCCTCAGCAAAGCTCACAAGGATGAGGAAGAATGAAATACACACTTTTACCTGATTGGGAATGGTAACGTTTACTAGGTAGGCAACAATAACAAAGCACAAGCACCTCTGCCAAGTGGTGATTTACTTTAATAAAACATGAAATAAAAAGAGCAATGTTCAGGCATAAAAACTAACAGAACATTATCAGTCAGGGACAAAAAATGGTAGCTCACTGATCACATCCCCAGCTTCAGTTTCAATCGTATCATAAACCCATTTTCTATTGCAGCGACATTCTGGCCCACATTTGTTTGAGTTGCATTTGGAGCAAGGATAGAAGCAACCCAGGCAGTCGATTTCCAGGCAATCACATAAATCTATGTCATTACACAGCAGCCTGCCATGCTTGTCATACTTCTTTGTAGATCTGTGAAAGAGAACAAAAATTGTTCTCAGACAGTGCTTCAACACATTCAGACACTAAGCCAAACACACATGGAAAATATCTGTACAAGTATTTAGTCTTTAATAAACCCACAGCAAAATGAAATACCAGCATTATATCCTAATTGCAAGAGCCATTAGTTCTAAAAATGAGTGCATGCCATACTATATCTAAATTCCCTTAAAGTCACACAGAAAAAATCTTGTTTTCCCAATATGACTTTCAAGAAATCACTCTGCAAAAAACAATGCTTTTATGAATTTAATTCAGATTCAGTGAACAGCGTAGCAGGCATTTTTTAAAGTAAATCAGGTAATAAGTTAGAGATCTTACTTGGACTCATAAAAAAATTTTTGTTTCATCTGTGACATGCATGCTTTCTTTTTCTGCTCTCTAGTTTCAGGATTGAAGTCAGCTACCTGAGGTCCTGGATTTTGAAAGGCTAAGCATTTTAATTGTTTCTCGAGTTTTTGCTATAAATAAACAACAGAAAGTTTTTAATTAGTAAAATTATGTATGGATGGAAAATGTATTTATTTGCTGCCAGGTGTCCTCACCGGCTTTTTAGTGACATTAAAATTAATATTCCTGATAACTTATAAGATCATACTGATTGTTTAAAATGTTTGCTTGTCTAACTATTAATCAAATATTCCTTTTACCAACTGTGCATCCTGACTAGAGATGGAAAATCATGACTGAACACATGACTCTGGTACAGCAGCATGGAGTTTGCAAGTTTTCATATGAGATGCAGAATTATGTGTTTTGTTTTTCATCTTAATCTAAAATGTAAAAACAAGTACTATGTTTACAAGTATCTCAAATGGATTCACTCTTATTTTCACTGTTCCCTCAGATGCCTAGAAACTATCTATGCCAAACAATCTGAGGTCAAGAAAAATGTTTGAAGGAGCAGCTAATACAGTAACAAAACATTTGCACAAGCGAGAAGTATGAGAAAAAAACCCCCAACACACAGACAAAAACAAAGAAGCTCAACTAAGCACAGTTTTATGAGAAATAGGATGATGCATTTTTCTGCCAATCTTATGGAATTAATGTTTACAATTAGCTAAAACTGCTGAATATTTTTGGAAGCTAAAATATTATCTCTGTGTATTACCATTCCACTTAGTTCATGTATGTTTACAGACACTTCTAAAGTCACTGCAAACATAAGCATCATGTCAAACATTTTCCCTTTGGACAATAACTGTAAGCTTTGACTGTACACTTGTCATTCATTATGTAAAGACACAAAAATACAAACAAATTTATATTTTTCTCCTAGTTATGTAAATGGAGCTGCCTTGCCATTTCTTGGCTTCCCTGGAGGGTGTCATTCCTATCAGAATTCATAGTGATTTTCCACAAACAATTGAGCACTTTCACTGTTTCTCAGGTGAAAGCAGTGGCAGTTCAGCCCAATCTGCTGATACAGTGATTCAGGAATGTCCATGCACTTGAGTGCACTTTTTTCCAAGGTGGTTGATGCTATGCATCTTCAATTGCATCCTGAAAACATACAGGGCAATCTCATGTATCTTATTCATACATGTCTGCTGTGGACTCTGGGGTAGGTTTTCAGCATCATCACTATTCATGATCATAAATAATGCAATTTTAAGTTGCAAAAGAATAATAAGGTGATAGTCCTTCCTCTAAGACTACTCCTCTGTTGCCCTACGTACTTAGTAATGCTCTTAGCCCTCTAAATCACTGTGCTACAAACTTGATCCATTTCACTGTTATTGTCACTGATATTTCCCTCTTGATGCCAGCTCTTTATTTTTGTAATGACTGAAGAAATTGAAGGCAATTATATGTATCTTGATAATAAAAGAGTACTGGAGAAGTCATACCAATTTTTTGTGTCTTGTTGAGCAGTACTCAGCAGAAGACACATTTTTTTCTGCAGACGTTTCCTGGGAAGAATAACTTTTCTTGCAGTTTTCTTCCACGAGATCACTCATTTGACCACCCTTGTGAAATACGCACATATTTGTTAAACATACACAATGGTACAAACAGATTTTTAATTTAAAATTTTAAGGTAAGCAGGCGATATCCACACAAGGCTTTTATGTATTCTTAATCAGTAGCAAATGCAGAACAAAGTGTGGTTCAGTAACAAGCTCGATTTTACAAGACTGTATTACTATAATATCACGAGCATGTACAAAGGCTGTGCCTCCGAAGCTAGTCCATAGCTCGCCAAGCAGAGGCCGGAGCACCGCCGGTGTTTCAGTGACACGGAGCCCGGCAGCGCCGTCGCCGCGCGTGCCTCGAGGCGCAGCACGCACGCAGTCCCCGTGCCAGCCCGCAGGTGGCGCTGCTGCCCCAGCCGTGCGCGGCGGCGCGCCCGGCGCCCGTCGCGACATTCCCTGTCATGAATCCACGGTGCTCTTCCCGGAGATTCTAACCAACGGAATAAACGTAAGATGCTTGGGTTTTGAATCTCACTCCTTTGCGAAATATTTTTTTAATAGAATAGAATGTGGACGTTTTAGGTTAATAGGAAAAAGGGCATTACTCACTCTGCTAACAAAGTACCCAGGCAGGTGTGTGAGACTATCCTACAAATGCCATCCACCATCTCTCTGCCATCAATATAGGTTTAGCATGGATATCAGCTACCTCTTACCAACCTTGTGCAGATCCTTATTTAAAACACTTTATGCAATATATACAGTACCACTGCCTCAAACTTTAACCCCAAACACAAGCAGAAATAATTTAAGATTTCTGGAGCTCCTCCAACCCTTCCCCACATGCTGCTCAGCCTCTCTCATCACCTCTGAAAGGTAGCATAGAGGCCTCTATCACTTTACCCTTTACTTCAGGACTGTTGCCCCAACCCTGCCCCAGAGAAGAACTTCATTTCACCACTGCCGAAGGACCATCACCTCTCTAAAATAAGCAGGAGTCCAAGTCTTAGTTTTCCTCTCTTGCAGCCACTTCCTGCAGGGAAACAGACAAAGTGAGAATAGGAATCAAACGGAGTGACTTTGTATTACCTGTAGGGGATGTCTTTTAGAGAGGTGAAACAGCCTTCAGCCACTTTCAGACAGGGTTTCCTGTTCCCTTCAGTAGCCTGAAGAATGACAGATGTGACACTGTTCACAATGGAAGGCTTGGCAGCACCTGTTTTAGTTTTGGGACTTGAGTATCATTTTAGGATTAGAAAAGGAATTCTATTACCAGGCAATTAATATTTACTGGATGGGAGAACCAGCTTTCCCACTGGAAATTTGTTAGGGGTCCATAACTGAATAATGAATGAAGGGCAGCACTCAAAAGAAGGCAAGTATTGCTCTTCATTTGCACTCAAGTTGGAGTCCTGATAAGGATTTGCTTCCTACATTTCCTCTTGAGTCCAACCATATATCTCACATTGTTAAAGCTCTTTATGAGTATGCATGATTGTCATCCATGCCTGTTTTTTTTCACAGTATGCCAGGTCCAGGAGCAGAAAAGCCATCAGCAGCTACCAGTGTAAGCATGGAGAGTTTCTATGTGTCTTGTGGCAATGTAAGAATTTGACTGCTTTGACAACTAAGTCCTAACAGTTATCTAGACTCAAACACACAAAATCAGAGACCTCATTTTAAATACTAACAGAAAAAAAAACAAGCACCTTGTTCAACAGACATATTTCAAAAGCCCTTGCACCTCAACAAAAAGATCCTACGCAGTGAATGTAGCAGATTTCTGCCTTCACATACATATACTTTAAGTAGATAATGGTGAATTTTAATCTTCAGGAGAGATAACAAAAACAAAGGGAGCAGGACTGATTATCCTCCACAGTGTGTTCTGAGGAGAGATGGAAATGAGGGAGACACAGACACCCACTATGAACTCTGCAGAATCTAATTATACAAAGTATTCTTGGCCTTAAAATGGATTTTTTTCTTCTGTTATTTTTAGTTTGACTGTAGTGATAATGTGGGGGCAATGCATTGAACACTGCATTTTCTCTTCCAAAAAAATTTCAACTCTGAGGATAACCACCAATTGCACTCTTCCTCCACCAAAACCTGTGTTCTTCCATGCTTTTTGAATACATCAAGTACTTTTCTGGAGGTGATCACCCACGGCTGAACACCCCATTGTGGCTACAGTGTATGGCTAAGAACTGGCAATTTCAGCACAGAGCCTTGAAACAGTTGACCAGGCTAAAAGCAGAGTAAGGGAGGAAGAAAATCAGAGATTGTGTTATATTTAGAGTCTTATCCATGACACAGATGTTTCTGCTCAGAGAGTGATTTCAGAAGTTGTTAGATTTGGAAGGAATTACATTTGTTTATGATTCACATAAAATAAATATTTTCCTATATCTGTTTTTTTCAATAATTTAATATTTCTGTTTATGATCCCTGCAGATTACACAGCAAAATGTTTCAACAGGTGTGAAATGTGGTGGCCAACATTACAAATACTTCAGGCTGTTTGATCTCAGCAGTCTAAAGCTAGTGTCTCTGCAGGGATTGCCAGAGTGAATTCACATTGTTTTCAAGTTGTATTTGATTGTGCCATTAGAGATGCTCTGGCTGAGATATGTGAGCATGTCCATTACCTTCACCAGGGCAAGATGAGATGCTGCCCCTATGCCTTTAATTCCACAGTGCACACAGGGATTAGACAGATCTATTGCAATAGTCCCACATTCTTCACAGGCTAGCCCTGCAGAGATGTCTGTGAGCTCAGGAACCAGCAGTCAATCTGTGGCACATTCATGTACACAATTCGGAATTTCTATAGGACATCTGATGCCAGCCAAATTAGGAATAGGAATATATTCATCTTTCTCAGATCAATTATCAACTGAACTGTAAAACTGTGGAAAGACCATGTGGCATCTATTCTGTGCCTTCTCTCACAACCATGAATGTGCATTTGTGTTCAGAGGACAGCCTTGAAGCCAGGTAGGAAACACAGACCAGATGAAGAAATAGATCTCATCTCTTGTAACTCAGCTGGTTTACCAGAACCCTGACAAACGCAATGAGCCCATTCTTTAACAGGGGTTTGGAGGAGCAAATACACCCCTCTCCAAGTAAAATAATACAAATGCTCATAAATTCTCTCTCCAAAACCCAGATTCTGCTGCATCTGGAAGTGAGAACTCCTGTAGCTGAAGTTAAAGAGTTAATTATAAAATCATGTACAACTCCTGATTGTCACACAATAGGCAGAATAGATCTGCCAGGTACTTACCTACCTTCTGAAAACCTGTGGTCTGAAGGGTGTATGTTCAGCTCAGAGCAGACAGTAAGAGAGCAAGGAGGGTCTCCATAATCTTAAACTGTACTTACTGGAGAGAGAAGGGGAATGGCACAGCCTGGATTTACTGCTGCATTAAGTCCTCTGATAGTGGAAGTATGACATCAGCCCCAGAGAGACTGAAACAGAAGACAAATAATCAAAACAGTGCTCCCCAGAGAAGCAGGCTGAAGACAGTGCCAGGTAACTGTCTTAAAGGACCTCACACTTTCTGTCTCATTAATTATGGCTTTTACATAGTACTGAGCACAAAGAGCGGGAATAAAGAAATTGGATCAACAGGGATGAGAGTTCTAATTTTTCATTTGCATCTGTGAACAACAGAGCAAATGTATTTCTTAGAGTTTTTTTTTTTTTCCTTAAAGGTAAGTAAAGAAAAATATCCTGTAATAAAATACAGTGGTTTTTATTTCAAAAATATTGAAAAGTGATATGTTGGAACCCAGGGCAAGGGGAATATCCCCCTGTCTGCCCTGGGGTGCTCTGACTCCCAGGAAAACACTGACTTTGACCCTCATTCATGGAGAAAACTTCCAAAGCCTCAAGGCAAATTAGAAACCACAAAAGTGTGAAATAGATTGTAGAGATTGTAGATAGTAGTGTAGTATGTCACATGGGTGAGAAATTTAGGTTTTAGTATTTTTAGTATGTTATAGATGGGTTCATAATGGAGGATATAGGGTATTGTGTCGAGTTCCTTTCTTCTCTCTTCTTCCTCTTTCTTCTTAGGTTTAGATGGTATCTTGTAATTGGGTAGAAAAATCTGCATTGCAGGTCTCTTGGGGTCGGTTATTGGGTTAGAAAATAAAATAATTTAGGTGTCACTTCTTAATTGGGTAGTGTAGTTTTGATTCAACTTAAAAAGACCTTGCAGCACGAGGTTGTTGGCCATTTTTGTGCTGTTTTCACACATGCAAGGTCTGGGCGCAGACAGTGTGCTGAAGTTTTGGTAAGATAACAATAAACAGAAGTTAAAGACCGAAAAAGTCCAATGCGTCTGTCGTTCCTGACACAGAACTGCTTCAGGAGGGTCTCCCCTGCCAGGGGAGCCACCACGGCGTTGTCCAGCTTGGGGCCCACAAACTTACAACTGGTGCCCTGTGTGAGAGGAAAACCCAGCTCTGAAGAGATCATCCCATCGTCCCTCAAAGTGAGCCAGATCCATCAAAATTCCTCCAGAGTTGAAAGGACTCACCCGTTCAACATCTCGATTCCTGGTGGCCACAGGAGTCACATCCCGCGCTATGCTGGACGGACCTCGGGGCTGAGAGCTGAGCCCCACATTCGGTAAGCTCCCAAAAAGGACCAGAATGGGAGGGACAACTCTCGGAAAAAAGAGGCAGACGCATTCCAGAAACTAGAACTCTTCACCGCAAACAGCGGAAAATAAGGAAGTAGCACAGGCCCGTGAGAATGGAACTGCTTTTAGTGCCAGCGGGCGGCTCAGCGGCTCCGCGGCAATCTTTAAACGTAACAAGCACAGCTTTGCTTCCAGCAGGTTCGCAGAGCCCGGCGGAGATGAGCCGGAGTCAGACGGAGGTTGCGAGAGAACGGAAACCGCTCGTAACGAGCGAACGGGAGCACGGTCCGGATTGCGGACCGGGAGCTGCAAACATAGACCTAAAAGTCACAATTGGTGCTCACTAATGTTCATAGCAGCAGCGCAGAATCTCCCTTCCTTGCCTGCTTTCTCTCAAACGCCGACAGATCGCACGGCAAGAGCCGTGCCCCCTCACTCCGGGAATCCAGGCTGCTGTCGCACACGGGTTGCAGGGAGCCAGAACTGCGGCTGTATCCCTGAATTCAGCACTGCCCACGGTCACAGAGTCAGCATTGCCTGCCATAGCCCGAGCACAGAGCTCAGCAGAACCGGCACCGGCGGCAGAGCCTGGACCTGGGTTCCATGCAGCGATACTACCCAGCAACAACACCACTGCAACCAGTTCAATTGTATTATAAGACATTTTTTCAAGTTTTCATTTTAAGTGAACATAATACAGTAATTATATTCCCAGGTAAATGGGAAATCACTGGACAAGACACACTTCCAAAATTGGAAACCACAGCTCATTCCCAGGTAAATGGGAAATTGCCG